TGAAAGTTGCTGAGGATCTTAGGTAGCATACCAAACTTCTTCAGCCTCCTTAGGAAGTACAGCCATTATTGAGCCTTCTTAACCTTCTTGTATGATCCAACATTTTTCAGTCTGGTCATCTGGATAGTTTCTTTTTTTTGTGCTGAAACGTTTTGCCTTCGGTCCGGAAGGTTTTGACTTGTGCAAAACGTTTCAGCACAAAAAAAGAAACTGTCCAGATGACCTGACTGAAACATGTTGGATTGTATACTTGGATTACTGAGCATGGACTTTGTTGTTTTCAACCAGTTTGACAAGACTGTCCACAAGGAAGAGGGCCGGCAATGGAGAAGGGGTCGTACCAAAGAGACCATCTTATCACAAGCAGAACTGGTTTGTTCCACTTTGGAGTAAGCGGTTGGGGGAAGAATCAGTTTTGTTTTGTGTTTCCTTGACTGATGAAGCCTTCCGGACCGAAGGTGAAACGTTTCAGCACAAAAAAAAAGAAACTTTCCAGATGACCTGACTGAAAAATGTTGGATTATATACCTGGATTATTGAGCATGGACTTTGTTCTTCTTGTATGATGTTCACATTCCAGGTGAGGTCCTCACTGATGTGGATGCCCAAGGATTTAAAGCTGCTCACTATCTCTACCTCACGCTGTCAGAAGAACAGTAGTTGATGAGGTCTCCTCTCCTTCCTCATGTCCAATTTCAGCTCTTTTGTTTTGTCAGTGTAGAGGATGAGATTGTTGTCCTCACACCATGACATCAGGCTGGCCACCTTCCTCCTGTAAGCTGCTTTGTGCCCCCCCCCCCCCCCCCAATGTGTCCTATCACTGCAGTGTCATATCAGTATCATCATCATATCTCAGTCATCATGTGAAGCAGCACAGTTGTGGGTGAACATGGTGTAGAGGATGGGGCTGAGAACACACCCCTGTGGAGTTCCGGTGTTTGTGATGATGCTGGCTGAAGTCTTGTTGCCAGTATTGATTGATGAGGCCTGCCAGTCAGGTGGTGCTTTGCCACTGTCTCAACGCTCATCGATTCTGCACCACACCAGTTATGGTTCTACTCACTACTGGTACCCACCGTCACCATATGACCAGCCCAGTTACAATGTAGTTTGTTTCTTCTCGTTTCTAGATCAGTATAGAAGCTCCAAAAACAGTGTGGTTGATCAATGACAAGGTCCAGACCTTTCTGTCTTTTTTGACAGATCAGAGGATTCAGCGCAAGCTGGACGGCGCTAAAAGAAATTAGCAAATTTACTGTGAGATATTGGCAGATGATGGCACAGCATGGCTATACCCGAACAAGCTTGGAAGTCTAAGAGCCAGTCACAGAGGGTGGGTTGCAGGCCAAGCGTGTGTTGTGAGTTTGACGAGAGTTGCTGTGGGGTTGGCGCATGGGGGGCTGTTAGTGGCAGCCAACAACTCTGCAGTGAATTCCAGCGGTAGATAATGGGATGGCATTTCAACAGCAAAAAGTCCACGTCTGGCTTACAGTGTTTATGAACAGTCCGTATATCTCTGTACCACGAGATATTAAGTACACACACACCTCCGCCTTTGGTCTTATCGAAGCCTGTGGTCAGATCTCCTCGGTGGACCTTTTCATCCAGTTTGTTTTCTAGAGACTGTATGTTCACTAGTAGGAGCCTGGGTAGCGGTTGTCGGTTGGCATGAGCCTCTAACCTTATGTGAAGCCCTCTGCTCTTGTCTCGTCATCGTTATCTCTGGAGTGCTCTCCTGGAGTCAGCAACCACATTCTAACCCAGTGCTGCAAATCCTTTTTGGAGATGGGTTTAATAGAGGTGATGGTGGCTGCGGACACCAAGTTTTACATTAAAAAATTGGTGTAAAACCAATAAATTCATAGTGTCTGTGAAAGTTGACGATGTTCTGCATTGTCTGTCTGTTGTACGTTAGCAGTGCATGACATTTCTGCACGGCTGAAAAGGCAAAAAGCATATAAAAACACAAAAACAAAAAAAAGCTGGCATTTGAAATCAGTTTGAGCAAATACATCTGCTATAGGAGTGTCATCTTGATGTTAGTCTCAGACTCAGATTTACTCACAGAGCTCAGTGGAAACAGAGGCATGAGTACACAAACACAAGTGCTGTTCAGTGGACTGAGAAGAACCAGCCTCAGGTCAACAACAAGACAGGGCTGGACAAAAAGAAAGGCATGGAGCAGGAGACAGAAACTGGATAAGAGAACAGAGGGTTTGGATCAAAACAGGAAATAATTTAGGAAAGTGGCGAAGCTAGAATTTTAGGAAGGGTGGTGGGCAAAGCTTTTTCAGGATGGGGGCACATGCCTGTGAAGGGAACAGTTCTGTTACTTGAACCTGGTACCTAAAGAACATCCCTTCTTGACTGTTTTTATAACCTATTTGCTATTTAACTCGGCTGCTCAGGGGATTTTAGTTTCTGAAAGAGTTCAGACAGACAGCATTTATTGTTGTTGCATAAAAATATCCAGGAGTTAAATGAGCTAACACTTTTTAAATTAATTTATTTTGCTGCATTGAATCATAAATGAAGAAAACAAATGTTTGATTTAAATAAATTGCATTTCCTTTTTCTTCCTTGCTGTAAAAGCAATAATTTTTCAATGTGAACAATATTAAAACAAAAATGACAGAATGCCTCCTATTTAACATTAATTACATCTCTGACTTACCAAGTCAAGTTATGCAACATCTGACTATCTACAATACAGAAAAAATATTGCAAAAAAATTCAGATAACCCCATCACCGTCTCAGTCCATTCAGAATCACATTGAAGGCGTCTTGGTCTAGACTGAGGCGAGCCTTTAGATCATATGGGTCAAATGTGGTCCTCGTTGACATCTTAGCTGGCCCCCAAGATGATATGTGAAACATAAAATACTTTTTGCACTTGATTTTTTTCAGTAATCTTTGATTATGATGTCGAAAGCACAACAGAGATTATCAAATGAGACTAATCAAACTCTTGTTGAGGAACCTGTGACCAAGAAAAGATGTTTGGTATCTGATTTGAGTTAATGGAGTTTCTGAAATTGGTCCTTAGTTTGCAAAAGGTTTTAATTTTGGCCCCCTTTTGTAAATAGGTTTGACACCCCTGCTTTAGATTATCTTTAACATCTGACATCTCTATATCATTATCATTCATGATCAACATCATTAAATTTTCTATATAACAGGATCAATTCAATTCAGTTTATTTATATAGCGCCAAATCACAACTTAAAGTTGTCTCAGTGCACTTTACAGGAACATTCACATACAAAGTACATAAAAGTCAATTAGTAAAGTTCTCTATCTAAGGAATCCAGCAGACAAGATGAATCTTGGCTTTGTTGCAGTCTCTCATCCTGAGCAAGTACAGTGGCAACAGTGGAAAGAAAAACTCCCTTTTAAAAGGAAGAAACCTCCAGCAGAACCAGGCTCAGGACAAACGGCCATCTGCTTTGACCGGCTGGTTGAGAGGACAGGAAGGAGAGACAGACGGACATAGAATGGTAGGTCCAGGTATAGGTCCAGGTATAGGTCCAGGTATAGGTCCAGGTGTATCTGAAAGACAAAAAAAAAACAACACACGTTAAGATAGAAAAAATAATTACAAATACAAAACAGGTTGAGAGTAAGTAAAGACAGTAGCAGAGTGAAAACGTGTGGTCAGTTTGTCCTCCAGCAGTCTCAGCCTATAGCAGCATAACTAAGGGACAGCTCAGGAAACCCAAGCCGACCCTAACTATAGGATTTAGCAAAAAGGAAAGTCTTAAGCTGAGTTTTAAAACTGGATAATGTGTCAGCCTCACGGACAGAGATTGGAAGTTGGTTCCACAAGAGAGGAGCCTGATAACTGAAAGATCTGCCTCCCATTATGTTTTTGTAAACTCCAGGAACCACAAGTAAACCTGCAGTCTGAGAGCAAAGTGCTCTGTTAGGAAAATATGGAACAATAAGATCTGTGATATAAGATGGAGCTAGGTTGTTGAGAGCTTTGTAGGTTAGAAGTAAGATTTTGAATTCTATACTGGACTTGACAGGGAGCCAATGGAGAGAAACTAAAACTGGAGAAATATGATCTCTCCCACTAACTCCAGTTAAGACTCTGGCAGCAGCATTTTGGATCAACTGAAGATGTTTTAAAGAAGTATTTGGACACCCAGTTAACCACTCTGATGAATTTTGACATTTCAGAATTTACAGATGGTTCTCCCACAGATTATTTTTCTGATTTAAAATCATCATCTGATTTCTAAATTATAATTTTAGAAAAAATATAAAACAGTTCTGTGACCTGGTTTACTCTAATCGCTCATCTTTCAACGCCACATGCAGTGACTTGTCAGTCAACTGGAGTGGCACCTGGTGTGGCCATTTAGATTTCAGGGTGGCCAAGTGCCACCCCTTGCCACCCCTCTGGCTCCGCCCTTGATTTAGGGACATATTAGCATGTGTCCATTTGCATTGTTTATTTGTTATGTTTCATGTTACTGCAGCTGAGAATAACATACCCCCCCCCCCCCCACACACACACACCACTTCTCTCCCTTAGAGAAAAGATTAACAGTCCTCCTCGTTAGGATGCTCTCCTCCTCCTGCTCCCATCGGCCCAACCCTCTCCTGTTGTTGGCACGCTTCTCCATCATTGGCTCCCCTCAGGATCTATGGACATCGAGGTGAGGAGGAGGAGGAGGAGGAGGAGGAGGAGGAGGAGGAGGAGGAGGA